ACCGCCAACGTTAGGAAAAAAAGTGCTCCGCCGTGATACAATGATGAACGTTTGCCGTGTAGTAAAAGGCAATCAACAGTATTTCCAGTTGCTCGGGCGTCTGCCTTGGTTGGAACATCCGGACTCCCTAAGTTCCGACATATGTTACTTCGCATGGAGGACCTCATGTTTGTGTGTGTTATGCCCTTATCCTAAAGTCTATCAATGAAGCGATATAAGGTTTTTCTTGGAACCACAGAGAGCTGCTCCTCCAACCTCGCTTTGCCCCACTTGAAAGGGAGTGTCATAAAAGCAGGAGACGCCAATGTCGAACCCGGAGCGGTAAGATCCTAATTGTAAGGAACCTCAATACGGTACCTCTACAAGTTCCAAAACCCCAGAATTCCTACCCAAGTCCTAAACCCTAAACCCCTAAACCCTAAACCCTAAACCCCTAAACCCCTAAACCCCGCCCTAAACCCCTAAACCCTGAACCCTAAACCTCGAAGCCCCTTCTCAGAGGAGCTCGGAGAGACCTGGGCCTCAAGGAATGCCTTTGCTTTCGGTCGACGCCAGCGCGGCGAAAGCCGGACGGGCGTTGGGGCCCCAGCAGATCTGGAAAGGGTTATCCTGCACGGTTTAGGGTTTAGGGTTTAGGGTTTTAGGGTTTAGGGTTTAGGTTATCCTAGGTAGTATTCGGGAGACTTAAAAGGTACCGGGCTGAGAGGGTCTGTGTCCCCAAGAGTCGCCCTAATCCTAACTCTCAGGTTATAAGTTGTAACGGTGCTACAGGGCAGCTCTCTGAGTTCGAGACCGGGCCGGGGATTAGAGTTTAGAGTCTTCAGGACAACATTTCTGAGAATCGTGGGCTGGGGTTTTAAGGTAGAGGATCGGGTTTGGGGCTCAGATTCGGCCGAATGGGGCACGTCAGCAGTGTAGGAATGTAGACATGAAGGAACCCAGAGGGTGCAAATACACTACCGTTACCATTCTGGAATTAGGTCCTGAAAGACCCTCCTTTTTGTTGCTTTGGGGGGGGTCTAATTCCATAATAGTAGTTTAAAAGTATATATATATATATATATAAATACATATGCCCTCTCGGAAATGAAAGCTTACAGCAACCGAACACCCAAAGTATTGCATAACCCTGCATCACGAAATTATGTGAACCCAGTTCCGGGGCAATGCCTTCTCAGGGTTCACTGAGCGGCAGTGGTCTTATGATGAGAAGTGTGAAACAATAGCGGGTTTTGACGGGGTTTTGCATGACAGCCCAAGCAGTCCAAAATAGAAAAATCATAGGTCTACGCAGCATTCAGACCCTCAATATTGATCTCTTGCCATGCGTCCCCTGTAATTCCGACTTCTGTGTTCAAGATGCCCCAATACGATTTTCCAAACCCGAAAGTCCTTTCAATCCCAGTTGCTCATTCGCCCACCTTATTCCCCATATGCCCTGCAACGCTGTGTTGAGGTATCTCAGGATTTGGGGCTTCGAGTTCAGGGGTTATCGAAGATGTCTTGTCTTTTGAGGTGCTATAGAAACCCTAAACCCTAAACCCTTATAGCCCCAAACCTTAGCCTTGTTTTTCTCTCTAAACTGGACAAGTAATGTAGGGGCCTAAATAATTATTAATACTATTTTGGGGGCTCCTTGTTAGAAGTATACCATCATGGGCCCCAAAACCCTATTATAATTATTAAGGCCCCTATGCCCTACATCCTCATAGTAGCCCTTATAGCACCTTTTAAAGATCCCTATTATAGTTATTAAGGCCCCTATAAATATTAGAACTGCAGCCCACCACCCACGCAACCAGATCCCGAAGTGAGTTCCCGGATCCCCACCAGCTCTATCCCTGACGCCCTGTGCCGCTAGCTCTCAGCCAAGCCCCAAGCAACAAATGTAGGGGCCTGAATATGTTGGGTTTTGGGGTATATGATACTATCGTTATCTCAAGGAGCCCCCAGAATAGTATAGGCAATGATTTAGGCTTCTACACTAAGATTTCGGGTTTAGGGGCCCTCTGTTGCTCCCTATAAACATCTAGGATAGTTCCCGTTATAGGATACTTATAGAAGGTCTATATACCTTTTTGAAGCCCTATCTACCCTAAACTCCCCGCCTGTAGTTTCCTTTACAATCTAAGGGCTTTAGGAGGGACCCTTGATAGGGACTCTTGTAGGTTATTGGGGTTAATATGGAGACTACCTGGCTATATAAGGGGTATATAAGGACTATACAATGGTTATTTAAGGTAATGGGATTAAGGGTCTCTATTAGGGCCCTAAACCCTAAACCCTAAACCCTAACCCTAAACCCTAAACCCTAAACCGGTCTCTATTAGGGGTCCCTCCTAAAGTCCTTTGATACAAACAGCCTCGTTCCGTGGGCTCGAGCTGGAAGTCGGCAGGTCCTGGACAAGCTTCTGGGCACTGCGGGTTCCTTGGTTCTCCAATAGCCAACCTTTGACACTTTTTGGGTTCTTATACTTTAGGGTTTAGGGTTTTAGGGTTTAGGGTTTAGGGTTTAGGGTTTAGTAGTAATCTGAAAGTTTAACCTTTAGTTTACCTGGCTCTTTGGGCAAGCAAGGTTCCTTGGTGCAGCTGACGGACTCGGTGGAATACGGCCTCACCGACATCCAGGCGTCTTTTCAGTGCTCAGTAACAGTATCGCAGGGTCCTTTTAGCTTCCCTGAAAGATCAGCAGTACAGTAGTATTCGCTAGGCTTCCTTATTCCTCATTATGAATATAGTACAACATACCCCGCAGTCTTGCTCTAATTCTCAAGGCCCCCATATCAATATGGGAGTTTCCGAAAATAGGGTACCCTAATATAGTACCCCACATGGTAGTATCCTTATTATCAGGACCCCGAATAAGGTACCCCCTATTTACGGAAACTCCCATATGAGGTCGAAAGGATGCGAGATCCAGAGTCTCAAAAGTCTTGCATGAACTCGCACATCGGTTAGGAACTGGGGTTTCGGGTTTAGGGCTTTCAGGGTTTGGGAGTTCAGGGGTTTTAAGGGGTCTTCGTGGTTTAGGAAGTTTTGGGATTCAAAAATGTTGGGCCCGGAGTTTGAGCTTTGTTCTTGCTTTTGGTGTCCCGCCACCCTAAACCCTAAACCCTAAACCTATAAACCCTGAACTCCTAAACCCAAACCCCTGAACACTGAACCCTAAACCCTAAACCCCCGCCAGGAGTACTATGCCAACTCAGGGGCCATGGTCCGGCGGATGAGTAGCCTGGCGATCTTGGGTCAGATGCAGGATTAGGGTTTAGGGTTCACGGTTCAGGGTTTAGGGTTCAGGGTTTAGGGTTCAGGGTTCACGGTTCAGGGTTTAGGGTTCAGGGTTTAGGGTTTCGGGTATTTGAGGTTCAGGTTGGGCCTGTTTTCGGGTTATTATCGTTTCTTGAACGGCCCCCGCACCCTAGCTTCGCTACGTCTCCTTTGAACATCAGTAGGGTGAGTGGAAGGGCCTTACTACTGAGAATAGGGTTTTGGGGCTTCGTATTCTAATTATTAAGGCCCCTATAATAGGTGTAAGGCTTCATCACCCTTCCTTTCTTCTCCAGATAGATACATCCACCCACAAACTGAAGCTCTGACATCCGTCTGAATAAGTCGCCAAAGTGACTTCTAACGTCACTCCCCACATGTGGGCAACAATCCTTCGGATAGTTATGAAAGGCAGCATGACTTCTGCGATCGTGCTTTCTGCCGTCATCCTCCCCCAAAACACGTGCTTTTACATGTGAATCTGTACAGTCACGGTGATCTTTCAGTAGCATTGCCACCAGCACTGGCATGCGTCTTCTTCCTGCCAGCTCAGCTGCTTCAGCTGCTGCAGCACTGCGTCCTCTTGATCTTGTCAACGGTATCTAGTCTAAACCCTAAACCCCTAAACCCTAAACCCCTAAACCCCCAAACCCCTAGACCCCTAAAACCCCTAATGGTTGTTCCTGCTGGTATATTGACTCTAACTTCTCTGTTGTGAGCATCCTCAGAAGCTGGTCGGTCCACGCAATCATGCGAAGTGAGAAGTCCGAAGGGTGGGGGACGTGGGGGGTTTGCATCATTCAGACTGCGTGAGCAAGAGCTCACTATCCTTGCAGCATGACCATTATCGTTCTTTAGGGCTTTGGGGCCCCTTTCTTAGTAAACTAGTAGAACATACCCAAAAGCCCAAATATCTGAGGCCCGATGTTGCCCTTAATGCTTGCTTTCAGAAACTCGGGGTTCAGCGTCGGCTACAGCAGCGGGCAAAGATGCAGATATCGGCCACGGGCATCCTTTCGTTGATGGAGCTTCAGCACGATCACCCTGTCTTTCTGCACACCGGAGCAAAGGTGTGGGAGGCAAGCCGTAGGGGGAGACCCCGCCCCTAATCCCCTAAACCCTTGAACCCTAAAACCCTAAACCCTAAACCCTGAACCCCAAACCCTTGAACCCTTGGAAAGAGGAAGGCTGCCTATGGTCATAGGTGGACCAGGGCCGAAGGTCATGCACGCCCGGTTCAGAAGCTC